ATTAAGCCAGCCGGGTAAAACCTGCGAAAGAAAGCCGCTCTTGACTGATGCAACGAGGCATAGGTCAATATAAGAGTAAAGACAACTTACTATTTCTACTGGCAACAGAGTGCTTTTCGATTTTGAGGATACAATCCCTACATGCTGGAAGTACCAAAGAACCTCAGATTGAGCTAAAGCCAAGTCAGAAAACACCATCTGCGGGAAAGAACCAACAGACCAAGAAGGATAAGGTGAGCACCAATATTGCCCATATGATGAGAATCAGAGCTAACCTCGTTCATTTTAGTTAGCACTCCAAAAAATGGCAACAGGAACAAACAAACAGAGAGTAAAGCATGGCTAATCATAAGCCATATGATGTTCTTCCAAAAATTAGACAACCTATATTTCGCATTGAATATTACGATAACCCTCGGTTTTGTTTGCTTGCGGGGACGCCCTTGTTTCTCTAAAATTACTCGACACAACTTTCAATCATTGTTCCATTGAAAAATATAACAATCCTGATGTTATCTTGCATCATCCTCTTCTTGGTCCTAATGGGCTGAGATTGATGATGTATAGTCCACGTTGAACGATTATTCGACGATGAAAAGTCTAGACTAAAGAAATGATTTTAATATCACTCAGGCCACTAGAAATAAAATTTAGGCCATCTCAGAATTTTGAAATCTAGTCGTCCAGCAGTGACTGACAAAATAAGGGACGCCAGAGTCATTTCTATCATGATAAGAGGCCCAAAGCCATGATGTATCAAAAGGAACCCAAAATTTTTACCTCTATGTTTGGCGCCAATAAACTAGGCTGATCAGTGAAAAACATCACCATTTTCCAATCTCTTGTTTTAAAAGTGTTCTTCTTTCATGGCGAATAGCATCACAAGAGAATAGTGCATGCTCATGCACTTCAATGCGGCAGTAGAAAATGTACAACCATCAGTTCAAATATCAGCGATGCACCGAAAATGACATGGTAGCACTTAGAAGGCTAAAAACAGAGAGTCCTCAATGATCCTGGCCCTCTGAATGTTTCAGAAAGTGACCCGATTAAACCTGTATGGAAGAGGAACATCTGCCTACTCGTACATCGTCCCACAGCCTTACCTCAAAATATCCACACCGAACAGGAGCGTCCGAGGGTACGGCTGTACATGGTAAGCTATGAGATGAACCTTCAAAATATGGTATAAACGTATCACTTACAGATTTTGCATCCGGCCGTAGGGGATCAACAATACTGATCACTCCTCACCATTCCGAAATGGGCAAGAGCAGCTCGTCATTTTCTGAGGTCCGTGTTTCAAGACATTGAGAATTAGCAAAGTACACTAAATCCGCACAAAAGAAGAAAATCAGGCATGCAAAATGCGTCTTTTCACGTTCCAAGAGCCCGAGTCATGACATGATAAGTCCCTTGAGCGTGCGCGTTCAGTGAAATCTGTTTTTAGGAATAGGGTGAAGCAAGCAATTATGGTCAATCTAGGAGAATGTCCAGCAAAACAGGCAAGGACCAAGCAGTAGCATGTTGACAGTGAACTTCTTGGGCGATTTTTGCTTCAGAACTGAGAAAATCATTTATCGGTTTATATGGCTTTCCTCCTTCCACGCGTGACGTTGTTGCTAATTAGAGTAGGAGCTGAACGGTAGCTGATCATTTTCTCAACTTGCTTCGCGACGCTATACTCTAGCTTTTGCCATCTTCTTCGATTCTAGTATCCTTGGAAAGACATGCAATTGGTAATCCTCACGCAATAGCAGGTACTGCTGTTTTTCGAGGGTAAGTTCAAAATCAAAAGAGAGAAAAGAAGAATGCATCTCCATGATTGCCAATCGGACTCGCAAGAGAAATTGAAGAAAAGAATAACAATGAAATCAGGAAGGCACGATGCGTCAGCACAAAACACAGTAACAACATCAACATGTAAAATCAAACCAAAACCGATCTCATCGAAAACAAATCACAGGTGGATCGACATAAAATGGAACTCTTCCAACAATTGCAAAGTCGAATCAGCGGAAAACACTACCAGTTATACAATGATCGATCAAGTAAACCAACGAGTGACTCAACTCGAGCTCCAAGGACTGCACAGATGGGACTCAGAAAATGGCAGATACTAGAGCCTAATCAATGAACAAAAGCTAGACTTGCTGCAAATTTGTTGCGTTGGTAATTGTAGAAATGGACGTCATATAGTTTCCTGGCTAGTGGCACAGTTCATCTTCAATAATACACATAGGAATTTGGTTTTGTTAACCTAAATTTTTTTTTCCTTCTATTGCTCGATTGCTTCTTACTGTGTCTGTCCCTTGTGAATCCCTGTTCGGACATCGTGCCTGGGCGTGGACCTCTCGGTTTTGGTTCCCCGTCTTTGTGCCTGTCCTGTCTTTGGAACCGGCGGTCTGCCTGAGGCCGTTCGGTTGATATGTTTGGGATTTGGGCTGCTGTGCTTTTGTTGGCACTGCTTGTTTTGGGGTTGCTGATCCTTTTTTTATTTGGGGTCCCGTTTTGATTGACACGTCACTGAGGTCAAACCGGGAGATCCTGGAGGCTGTTGTTGGTAGCATGCACTCTGGTGATGGAATAGAAAGAGATGCCTGGTTAAAACAGAGTGTGAATAAAGACGCTTTGATTGGATTCTGTGTTCAGGCGGGTCAAGCCCTAGCTTTTGATCGGCTACTTGCTGAAGTAGCCAGAACCGTGCTCGAAGAAGGTGCACTGCTTATATACTCGTTACTTGGTGGGATAGCTAAACATATACCCGATGAAATACCAGAAAAGAAAGAAATTAGAACTGGTAAGAGGGGTGGCAAACAGTATGGGCGTTGGTGCTTATCAGGATTCTGAGGGGGTAAGGTCCATTATGGAAGAAGTCGATGGTGCAAATGATGGTTCATGGAGCTTGTTGCCACACTAGTTCGCCAGCTTCATGACATCCAGTGTCTGCCTTGAATATCGAGACTGGCGGCTTCAACAACAACGTTCATTGCTCGACCAGGTTGATTTCTACATCTACAAAACTAATCCAGTGTTAATTCATTGGACTAGCGTTATGCTTAACAAACACCTGACTTGTTTGTGCATTATTGTCTCTGCTGAGGAGGACTTGGCCCTAGCAGTTACCCATATGACAGTTATTTCAGCCAAATCTCTTCCGCGCTGTCGTCCAGATTGTTATCTAGAAATTAAACTGACAAACCGAACTGTGATACAATTTGGTTTGAAAGTTTTTCCTTGTAAGAAAAAAGTAAACCGGTCTAATAGAGGAGTAGAGCATAATTTTGTCTGAGACTTTGGACGGACTGTATACGAATCAAACATCATGCCGGTGTTTTGAGGTGTCTCGCGCGGTTAATTCTTATAGCCGGTGAATGCATGGACTGTGTAGTGTTTTGAGGTTTCACCAAAAATATTTTTCTTTATTATGGAGTTTTCTGTGAGACAAACGCACAATTACTTTAATTCGGAACTTATTGGTCACTTTTGCCCTTGTTTCGGCATCACTTGCATGCAAACTCGAATCCAATGGGCTTTGGATTGCAAAAAATTAAACAACAATAAGTTGGAATGTCTGGTTTTGATGAGAATCTGAATCTCAACTATCAGCCACGCCGCCCTCAGCAAACCAATCCCAAATTGAAATTGTATTTAATGTAATCCTTTCCAAATGGAAGCAAATTGATGTCTTTCGTACGAAAATTATAACACAAATGGTCATGGGTTCAAATGATCATAGAAGGAGATTTTTTGTCCAAAAAAAAGGGGGCAAAATAATTCCACGTGTCAGCTAATTTTACTTAGTTTAGACACGTCACTTGTAATCTCTATTTGATTTGCCCAATCATATAGATATAAGACAACGACATCTTAGGAACACTTGGAAATTGGAAAATGCTTGCGAGTGGAAGGTCTATCTTAGCACCGCTGCATCAAATGTCTTATGTAAATTGAATCAACCGACCTAAATTATATTTTTTACGTTCAGAGATTCGTAGTCGTGCAGTTTATTCCAAGTTAATCTGTATTTTACTCAATTAATTTTCCTCTATTGACTCTATAGCGATAAATTGATTATGATATGATGATGCCGCATCCTTACAAGCCGCCCTTAATTAGAGCACTTAACTAATCCCTCTTGACCTTTTGACAGCGACTTATCACAAGAAATCATAATTAATTATCGGACATGTACCTAATTATATTCCATTATGAGAAGTCACTTAGCTTTGCTGCGAATATTCTTCTTGCTAATAAAATCAAAGAAACCCACAATATTTTAAATCTATCTGCTCCCCCACTGTTACGTGCAAACAATATACTTTTAAATCTCCAAATTCAAATTTATGCTCACATCTCGCCGTACTTATGAGATCAATAACGTATCCAAACGATCATTTTTTATAGAAATTATTTTTTTTACCAAGTAAATAGAGCTTTAAAGGAAAAAAGAAAGAAAGCAAAAAATAAGGCTACGCTTCCGACCAAACACAGAAAATGGGGTCAAAATTTCAAATACCGAGACAACACCAGAATTGAGTTGAGTGAATTCCTTGGGTTTACGTGGTCTGGGCCACACGAATTGGACTGCAGAGCTGGGCTGGACCCCTTTTTTCTTTCTCTTCTTTCATTTATTCCTTAATTTGTTTATTATTATTATTATTATGATTCTTGTCCCCTTTTTACCATCATTTATTTTTATATTTTACAAGAAAGAGTGTATGCTCGGCTTGTTGGCAAAAAATTAAGGTGTCAACATGTTCAATGTACAGGGACCATGTATCAAAAGTCCATGGACCACATAGAACAAATTACAAGTTCAAGGATCACATTGAACATTACATTAAAGTTGAGGGGCTACATTGAACAAATTAAAAGTACATTGACCAAATTGCACATTGAGCCAAAATTTAGGGACTGTTTGTGTCATTTTCTCTTTTTTAATCTCATTACCACTTATCTTCCTATACTTTTTAAAAATACTAATTATCATTCTCCAACTAAGGGACTGTATGATCTTCAGCATTTTCAGGATCCACCCACTCGAGCAATCTGTTGAAGGCCAAAAAAAACAAGTTTAGTTCCAATTATCGAGCAGCAATGACCGCAGCAAGATTTAGCCTTTGTCTTTTCAATGAAGAAGAGATCATGAGAGGGAGTGGAGAGGAAAACAAGGACATAGATTGCTTGCTTGACATTTTGCCGAAACGCAGCATAACTCGTAGTTGACCGGTCCAGAAGCTTAATCAGTTTGCCACTAACGTTGAGCTAGGGTCAGGTGAACGCAATGCTCATCAGTGGCGAGAAAGAAAACATACCTACAACCTTTTGGTGATGCGCAGACGACACCATCTCCTTGTAGGTGAACAGCGATTCTATAAGGCAAGTCGGAACTGGTGCAGAGCTCAGCAACCTGAAGTACACAGGATCCAGCCATTGTAAAGACATGAAAATGCAAATGAATCCCGAGCATTGGACTGGACCGGCACGGCACAGTGCCTCCATCCATCCATCCATCCATTACAAAGTCGATATCAAAGCGAAGCAAACGGGTAGGTCCAACAACGTATGACTCAGAACCAATCGCTGGCTAAAACACATAACAATTCCGATATCTATCTCGTAAGAGCATGAGGAAAAAAAGGCACCTTCAAATTATTTATTTATTTATTATAGACCAACCCTGGCCCTAACGTGATTCCAATGAACCTCGAAATTGAGAACTCAACATACCAAGACAGCGTAAGCGTTTTAATCAATGTGCCGACACAGCGAATCACACAGACGGAGGGGAGGGAGGATGGTATCAGGATCTTACGGGCCGCTGGGAGAGAGAACCGGAGCCGAAGTCGAACTCGGCGATGAGGACACCGTTGGGGATGCCGCAGCGGCCCTCGCTGCCGCCGCCGCCGGCGAGGACGAGGTAACCGCGATCGTCGGCGGCGACCGCATCGTCAGGGCGCTCGCCGCCTTTGAGACGAGACCGAATGCCATGGAGGGGAACCCAAGCGGCTCCGAACAGAGGCACGCCGTACCTGTGGTAATTCTTGCTCTTCTCCGCCATGGCGGATCGCTGTGTGAGAGAGAGAGTGTGTGCTGAGAAAGGATGCTCTTTTGACCTGAAATCGAATGCGCTTTGGCGCACTTTCTAGTTTCTAATCAGGTCCTTAAATCCCACGGATTCTGAGTGATTTTGAGGGATTTGTTAATATTTAATTTAGATATTTCTTCGAATCCTTTCTCTTATTTCCTTTCCTAATTATCTAAACCCTATTCCTTTTTCATTCTTAATTTATTCCATTCAAACTGAGCATATGAATCTATGTTGTATGGATATAGATTCTGTAATCCGTATTATTTCCTATTGATTTATAACGTTTTAATTTTCATGTCGAATAATTAAGTTACGAACAAAAAGTATTGATCCGTGTCGATACCCATAAATTAAGGATGTCAAATCATATCGTGCTCGTGTACGGATTTTCTCTCCGCGATTTATGTTTTATTTCGTATCATGCAAACTAATCTCACCCACCATTGTCGGCCCTAGGATTGGGCCGTAGCTTTTTTCCACGTTTAATTTTCATGAATTTACAGCAAATTTCATTTATTTTGACCAAAGCCTAGCTAATCAATTTTTTTTCCCCTAATCACCGCTTTACGTGCTCCTATGCATATAATCACTATTTCTTTACACATTAGTTAATCATGAACAATGGGGCCCTACGTACAGATGGATATGTATGTATATTCTAGACTTCCAAAGCACCTCAACTCTTCCCTATGGCATTATTTATGTTCGTGTTACAAGTCATGGATCAAATAGGTACACCGGCACGACAAACACATGTGAACATTGAAGACCTTACTTCAAACTCGATTCAATCTTCTCGGCTTTTCATCATTTTGTCATTCTGGAGCGGTGAAAAAGTAGTCGCTCGCACCGCGATAAAGTATGATAACAGTGGAAAGCACGGAACAAGAGTAAGTAGAAATAATATCTTCCCCGGCACTGCACGGTCCATGCATTCACCGGCTCCAAGAATTAACCTCGCGAGACACCTCAAAACACCGGTATGATGTTTGATTCGCATACAGTCCGTCCATAGTCTCAGACAAAATTATGCTCTACTCCTTTATTGGACCGGTTTAATTTTTTCTTACAAGGAAAAACTTTCAAACCAAATTGTATCACAGTTCGGTTTGTCAGTTTAATTTCTAGATAACAATCCGGACGACAGCATGGAAGAGATTTTGGCTGAAATAACTGTCATACGGGTAACTGCTAGGGCCAAGTCCTCCTCAGCAGAGACAATAATGCACAAACAAGTCAGGTGTTTGTTAAGCATAACGCTAGTCCAATGAATTAACACTAGATTAGTTTTGTAGATGTAGAAATCAACCTGGTCGAGCAATGAACGTTGTTGTTGAAACCGCCAGTCTCGATATTCAAGGCAGACACTGGATGTCATGAAGCTGGCGAACTAGTGTGGCAACAAGCTCCATCAACCATCATTTGCAGTTTGCACCATCGACTTCTTCCATAATGGACCTTACCCCCACAGAATCATGATCAGCACCAACGCCCATACTGTTTGCCACCCTTCGTACCAGTTCTGATTTCTTTCTTTTCTGGTATTTCATCGGGTATATGTTTAACTATCCCCCCAAGTAACGAGTATATAAGCAGTGCACCTTCTTCGAGCACGGTTCTGGCTACTTCAGCAAGTAGCCGATCAAAAGCTAGGGCTTGACCCGCCCGAACACAGAATCCAATCAAAGCGTCCTTATTTACAATCTGTTTCAAACGGGCATCTCTTTCTATTCGATCACCAGAGTGCATGCTACCAACAACAGCCTCCAGGATCTCATGGTTTGACCTCGGTGATGTGTCAATGCAATTTAACAGCGTCGCAGTGTGTTCCTTCATCATCCTGTCTATGCGGTCAACACATTGCCTCCAAATTTGCGAACAAATGCTCGTAGTTTGATTGGATCAGTGACTGGCTCGGCAAAATGTCCTCCAACAGGTCTAGTGCTCTTGAAGCAATTATGAATTGGAGCAACCAGGATTCCAGCACCAGATATATCCTCAAACAATATTCTCGATATACCAGTCCCATACGGCCTCAGTTGCAGATCCTGTATGTTGCTCCGCTGGTTTCTCAAATGAGTGCAGAGGAGAAACAGGTCCAGCAAAGACTCCTGTGAGTAGAACTTTTCAAATACCCTGAGTGAGGTTCATGCTGGTGTGCTGCTCTGCTAGGCGGACTATGCTGACATGTCTTCGAAGCAGGGATTTCATGATGGCAGGACGATTTGGATCATTGTCAGTTTTCTGTAGAGAAAGCAGTGGCCTCCTGAAGTTTCCGAGGATGCTCATGTACTGCACATGTAAGTAAATTGAGGTTAACAAAACCAAATTCCTATGTCTGTAGTCGCATTTAAGATTGAACTGTTGCCACTGAGCTCATGGAAACTATATGGCTATCCATTTTCTACAATTTGACAAACTGCAACAAATTTGCAGCAGTAACGTATCAGGAGCACTCAGAATACTTATCCAACTATAGACAAGGACCACTGTTTAAGGGTTGAATTAACTTGCGAAGGGAGTTACTGGATATGTTCCCCATGATAGAATAAGCATGATGTGCATGCTGAGATACAGTCAAAGCACACGAAAAACTTACCGCAAGGCAGCACCACAGCTTATCGTACGGTATTGTGCTTTCTGTGATTGCAAACTCCTACTGACAAGTCAACCATTGCATTTTCTAGATTTTGTTGGAGCAAAAAGAGAAAGAAGAGGAGCGTTGTGAGGGAGCATAAGGCGATCAAGATTAATTGCTCCTAAGGGAGGAAGTTGGTATGCCTCGCCTCTCTTGGAACAAATACACGGTTTAGAACACAAATTGGTTCCAAATCATTCAAGACTGAGCATAAATTGGTCAGCCTCTGCATTGCAGCTTCTTACCTGTAGACGAGACAACAGAAAATACCATATTGTACTATCGGCACCTTCTTCTTTTGAATGAATAAAGAAATATGAACAAATTAGAAGGAAAGAAAAAGGCCAGTCTTAGAGAAATTCCTTACATTTCAATTGAATTAGTGTTCTCAGGATAGCTTTCGCGCCCTGGCAAACGAAAACCTATAGGTCCTTTTGGAGATTTTTCTGATGGGACAGCAACTCTTGTTACATAATTCACATAAATAGCAGTTTGTAGCTGAGAATATTTGCAAGTTCAGTCACGTAATAATGAAAGGCAGGAATGTTTCTACATGTACAGCACATGGTACCTGAGTCTCTAGAGCACCAAAGCCCCCTCCTGTATCAAGAATAGTTAATTAATCCCTCCAATCCTCCCATAATTGATTCTATGAGGGATTCAACTTAAAGAACTGCATCTCCACCAATTTTAGTTACCTGTCAGAGAAGAGAGTAATGTTGCAATTATCCTTTTTCTTCATTTTTGCAAATTTTTCTCCTCCAACAACTTTAAATCATGAGATACCAATTGAAAGTCATATTTGAAGAGCAATAAAAACTGATCTTGTACTCGTCATCTAAGAGAAAATACTCGGATAACAAATCTTTCTAAAAACAGAGTAAACATGCTAAAAAACAGAGAAGATCCTTCCACGCATAATTTCTCTAAAATAAGCATTCACCAGTGATTCTATATCGCAATGCCATGCCTCTTTTATTCGAGCTTGCAGGCTAATAAGAAAGAGATAAAAGACCGAAGTCAATTATGATCTCTGTGGTTAGATTATGTCAAGGGTTACCTCTTCTGCGACAATTGGAGAAGCACATTCTGGGAAGCTGCTAGCAACTCCCAGCCATGCACAACAATGCTGAGGACGTCCTTCCGGTCCAAACATAGTTTTTCTAAATACCTTTTCCAATAATAACACGATTTTAAATCACAACTGCATAAAATTTACATTATTAAGGAGTCAAAGGTCAGAGAAAGCTGAACTCCCCGCGGTAAGGAGGGAATGACACGGTAGCACTTAGAAGGTTAAAAACAGAGAGTCCTCAATGATCCTGGCCCTCTGAATGTTTCAGAAAGTGACCCGATTAAACCTGTATGGAAGAGGAACATCTGCCTACTCGTACATCGTCCCACAGCCTTACCCCAAAATATCCACACCGAACGGGAGCGTCCGAGGGTATGGTTGTACATGGTAAGCTATGAGATGAACCATCGAAATATGGTATAAACGTATCACTTACAGATTCTGCATCCGGCCGTAGGGGATCAACAATACTGATCACTCCTCACCATTCCGAAATGGGCAAGAGCAGCTCGTCATTTTCTGAGGTCCGTGTTTCAAGACATTGAGAATTAGCAAAGTACACTAAATTCGCGCAAAAGAAGAAAATCAGGCATGCAAAATGCATCTTTTCACGTTCCAAGAGCACGAGTCATGACATGATAAGTCCCTCGAGCGTGTGCGTTCAGTGAAATCTGTTTTTAGGAATAGGGTGAAGCAATTAATTATGGTCAATCTAGGAGAATGTCCAGCAAAACAGGCAAGGACCCAGCAGTAGCATGTTGGCAGTGAACTTCTTGCGCGATTTTTACGTCAGAACTGAGAAAATCATTTATCGGTTTATATGGCTTTCCTCCTTCCACGCGTGACGTTATGGCTAATTAGAGTAGGAGCTGAACGGTAGCCGATCATTTTCTCAACCTGCTTCGCGATGCCATACTCCGGCTTTTACCATCTTCTTCGATTCTAGTATCCTTGGAAAGACATGCAATTGGTAATCCTCACGCAATAGCAGGTACTGCAGTTTTTCGAGGGTAAGCTCAAAATCAAAAGAGAGAAAAGAAGAATGCATCTCCAGGATTGACATAGCGTTCAGCGAATAATTCAAGCAAAACCTTGCTTAGAGAGAAAAATCTCGAAATTCAATATTGATAATAATAATCTTATCTCTTCAAAACAAACCATAAACAGCCTTTTATAGGGGTCAAACCTAATTATAATAGGAAACCTAATCATAATAGGAAAGTTACCTAATCTGAATTGGAAACCTAATTATAATAGGAAATCTAATCATAATAGGAAAGTTAATAAGCATCAAATAGCAAAATTACAAAAACGACC